TTTTTATAGAGACCTAGACCAAGTACATTTGATGAATTAACACAATTCCACACAGATGATTATATAAATTTTTTGGAAAAAATTACACCAGATAATAAGGACTATTTTTTTAAAGAATGTACTAAATGTATGTAATTTTATTATTTTTTATAATGCTTTTTCTTAGTTTACTAAAGGTCAAAAATACAAATTAATGTATTATGCTTTTAATATAAATGATAAAAATAAATCATTTAGTCAATGTTGGCGAAGATTGTCCAGTGTTTATGGGATTACTTGATTATTGTAAAATAGCAACAGGAGGATCTTTAGGTAATTATTTTTCAAAGGGAAGCCCATATAGCAAAAAAAAATTATTTCCTTTGGAAAACCATGTATATTAATCAAATTATTATTGTTGTTTCATTTTTTAAAAAGAGGGTGCAGCAAGGTTAAATTATGGATTATGTGATATAGCTGTTAATTGGGCAGGAGGATTACATCATGCAAAAAAACAAGAAGCTAGTGGTTTTTGTTATGTTAATGATATAGTTATCTCTATTTTAGAATTATTACGGTATAAAAAAATATAATATATTCTAGTATGGAAAAATATTTTAAATTTAAGTTTTTTTTAAAGGTTAAAAAATAACATATTTTTTCTTTTTGATTGATAACAACAGGTTTCATCAACGTGTACTCTATATAGATATTGACATTCATCATGGAGATGGTGTAGAAGAGGCATTTTATAAAACAGATCGAGTGATGACGCTGAGTTTTCATAATTATGGAGAATTTTTTCCAGGAACTGGAGATGTCAATGTATGTTTGTTTTTATTCTATCATAATTAAGAATGAATCATATGAACTTTTCTTTTTTAAAAAAATTTTTTATTTGGATGGTCTTGATTCTTTTTTAATATTGCAATATTTGATTCATTTTTTCCTTTATTTTAAACATAAACAGGATGTTGGTATTGGCAAAGGAAAATATTATGCAGTAAATTTCCCTTTAAGAGAAGGGGTTGATGATGAAACATATAAATTTGTGTTTGAGCCGGTAAATAGAAATTTTTTTTATATTTAAAATATAAAAAGTTATATTTATGATTTAACATAAAAACATACATTGATTATTATTTAGGTTGTGGAATATGTAATTGGATGGTATCAACCTTCAGTAATTGTTTTACAATGTGGAGCTGATTCATTAAGTGGTGATCGGCTTGGTTGTTTCAATTTATCATCCAAAGGTAAAAAATGTTAATAATAATGAAATAAAACCATTTATCAAAATAAATAATAATAAATAAAAATAATATTTAAAGGGCATGCACATTGTGTACGATTTGTAAAAAAGTTCAATATACCAATGCTAATATTAGGAGGAGGTGGTTATACTATACGTAATGTGTCTAGAGCTTGGGCATATGAAACTGGAGTGGTAGTTGGACAAGAAATTGGACCAGGTTTTTCTATGCATAAATATACATGTTGTTAGAACACAAATGCATGCATACATACATATAATGCATGAATAATTTATTTGTTATTTATTTATTTAGAATTGCCACCAAGAACTGACTATGACTTTCATGATTATTTTGGACCAGAGTATAAACTAGATGTATTGCCAAGCAACATGGAAAATAAAAATACAAGAAAATATTTAGAAAAAACAATGTAGTACTACTTACTATAAGAATGTTTAATTAAAAATTTTTTCCTCAAAGAAAAATAATATTTTATTTTTTTTTGACAACTTGGTTGGTAAAAATTTTTTTTGACAAACTGATTTACTAATTCAAATTCTTAATTAGGAATTTGGTATTTAAAAATCTAGATAGATCAAGGCATACACCTAGTGTACCATTACAAGGTATATATAAAATTATTTTTACATATATTTGTTGAAAATTTTATTAATTATTTT